TTTCAGCCTTTCTTCCCCTTTATTTTCCCTTAAAGTAAAGGCTTTAAGATGCTGTGGCTTGTATTCTGACACTTTCTTCCCCTTCACAGCAGCGACCTGGCTGGCCTTTGGCAATGAAATTCAATGCACATGGCTCCGCAGTCAAATCATCAAATTTCCCTGTGTGTATATTAGAGTTTTGTAATGTGTTTCCATTATGAAACAATGCGGGGATAATTGTCTTTGGTAGCAATTAGCTAACAGGTTTGTTCAGTGCTATTGGCAGAGGCATCCATCATCCCCTCCCTGACCACACTTTTGTCTAGCGAGGACTATGGAGATCAATAGAATTCTATAGAGGGGAAATCACCTCAGCTTTAATGAGCTGCAAGTCTCAGTCAGTCTTGGCTTGTATTTTTAATTTTTTCCTTTTAAAATTAGAAATCAGGCCAAAAATTGCTGTTCCATTGGGAGGGGAGAGTACTATGTATGTGCTGTTATTTTTACTAGATCAATGCCAGTTTTAACTTGATTTTCCTTCTATAAAAAGGTATGGCTTGTAACATGTAGCTGCAATAGCATATGCTTTGATGCTATCTACCTCTAAGATGTACTATTGGTTATTTTTGGTGGTATAATGCTTGGAGTGTCATGATTGCCTAGTTGTCATAGGAATTAAAAAGAAGCATGAATGGCACTCTTGATAGCAAGCAGTTTCATTGTACTGATTTAGTTATTACCCGGATGAAATAATGCTTTCTGTTAGACCGTTATATTATGCTACTGCTTAGCCTTACAACAAAACCAACGTATTGACAGGATAGATAGTATTTTGATCTGGGCTCTAAGGACCATATTTGGAAAGGGTAAGTGATCTGGCCATGGTTTTAAGACTATTACTACATAATGCTAGCTCTAGAACCTCATTTCTGTCCAACTGAAATACTTTCCTTCCTCCTAAATAGAGAATGCAGTGACGTTGGCCCATATTGTACAATTTTCTTTTCCTCATGAAATCTAGACGAAATCCTAAGTTAGGGTGTTGGGGGAGAACAACGAGCATTTCCATGGTTTTCTGTGGCCTTGGCATAATATAACAATATAATGGTGGGACACCCGAAACCATTGTACAGGGTGGGAAACTGAATTTGTAAGAAGTGAGCACAGTGGGCAGCAGCATGGCTGGTATTCAGATTCAAGGCCTCAGGGCCTCCTCAACAGCTGCTTTTATTGCATTACAGTGAATAAAGTTGCAGTTAGAAAAATTGTTGTAGAAATGCTGTCAAAACAGGATTGCAGGTTTTCCTGTCACATTACAGTCCTGGGCAAAAGCAGGAGATGACGAGCTCTTAACTGATCATGCCACGAGTCTGGATGATGGAGCCCTGGCCCAGGGCAGGCTCAGCAGATTCCCTGGTGAAGGGTTTCATCAGCAGCATTCAGACTAGTAATGAGCAAGCCTAGGTTTCACTGGGGTCTGTTAAAGTCTTATACTTTGAACAGATCTTGTTAAGTATCAAAATATGTTTTTATGATTTCATATACAAAAAGAGTGCACAACTGGAAAGTGTAACCTGTTACATATTGAATTTCTAAGGAAGACTGGATTGTTTTCTAAGACTTCTCACTATGTAGTCCAAGCTGGCCTTGAACTTACTTTGTAGCCCAGGCTAGCCTCAAACTCATGATTCTCCTACATTGGCCTCCTTGGTGTGGGGATTGCAGGTGTACACAATCACATACTGCTAAGAAGTCTGAGTATTAATTCCAGTTCACCTTCACTGTCTGCCTGTGTTAGCACAGGCCTTGTGCCCTATTATGTCTTGAGTGTTGAATGAGTACGTAGACAAGGGAGTTTCCCAGTAAAAGCTCCTTCTGTTGAGCAGTGCTGTAGAGAACTCTGTAAGTGAAGGTCTCCTGTGATGTTTCTGCCTCCTTGTCACTCGCTGTGTTTGTAACCTTCATGTTCCTCTCTTCTAGTTACTCAATATGTTACCGTGAATGGTAAGCCACCCCGATGTGGTGTACGTGCTGTAGAAGGCACACTACTGTTCCTGAACTGCTCTGTGTTTGGTGACTTGTTATCCAGCTTTGATCACCCTCACCCTTCTCAGCCTCTAGCGATCACATTATGTACTTGGCTAACCGTTTTTCCCCTTTTAGTGTCTAGATATGAGAGAGAACATGCCTTATTTGCCTTTTTGTTTCTGGCTTCTTTAATGTCCTCCAGTTGTGCCTATTTTGTTGCAAATGGTAATATATACTGCTTTTTATGACTTTGGCTATTTACTGTATTCTTTATCACTTTATCTGTTGTTGGGCATTTAGGATTATTCTGTATCTTAGTTTTTATGACTAGTGAATCAATAAATATAGGCATTTGTTCTAGTTTGCCTTCAATTGCTGTGACAAAACACTCTGACCAACACCAACCTGGGAGGAAAGGGTTCATTTGGCTTACATCTCCTGGGTCACAGTTCATCACTGAGGGAGCCCAAGGTAGGAACTCAGGGCAGGAACC